CATTCCTGAGGCGTAGTCTTAGCAGTAAAGAGTGAAGTGAAAAAGGCACTCAGTAACTCTTGCCTTCTCTGCCTCCTCTGTCACCAGGGCTCCCACTTCATTCACCAAAGGTCCCACATTTTCCCTAGTCTTCCTTTTACCACTGATGTACTTGAAGAAGCCCTTCTTGTTCTCTTTTACTTCCTTTGCCAGATTTAGTTCCAAGAGGGCCTTGGCTTTCCTTGTTGCATCCCTGTATATCCTGACAACGTTCCTAGAGTCCTCCCAAGCGACCAGTCCCTTTTTCCACCTACTGTAAACTCCTTTCTTCCATACAAGTTTTACCAACAGTTCCTTTCTCATCCATGGGGTCTCCTGCCTCCTCTACTTGATTTCTTACTTAAAGGAATGCATCGATCTTGAGCTTTGAGCAAGTGGTACTTGAATATTAACCAACTCTCTTGGGCTCCCCACCTTCTAGAGTCCTAGCCCATGGGATCCCTCTAAGTAGGTCTTTGAAGAGGACAAAGTTAGCCCTCCTGAAGTCCAGGGTCGCAATATTACTTATTGCCCTGCTTCTTCCTCGTACAATACTGAACTTTACCATGTCGTGATCACTACAGCCAAGGCTACCCCCAACCTTTACATTCCCAACCAGTCCTTCCTTGTTTGTTAATGCATCAAGGTACCTTTAGAACATCAGTGCCTAAGAAAGAAGTAACTAAATGAGGTTTGGCAGGATCTTATGTGGAGCATTTAACAGGTATGAAAAACTATCAGCATATTTAAAACTGATGAAGTTTACCAGTTTTGAAATGGTACTGCATGCTTATTCAAGTCTTTTTAAGTAAATAATTGCAGGCATGGTTCCGATTTCATGATTTCTAAACTAGATATTTTACATTTAATGTAAGACTGAGAACAATTTAATAATGTGACATCAGAAAATAAATTCTAAACCCATTTAGCTACTTGGGTATATGATCTGTATTAAAGGTGCATAGCAGTCCTTCCTGACTCAAAATGACTATGTTCTAGTCAGAATCACTCACTACTGAATCTTAGCATTTTGTTGACTTCTTGTAAAGTATAGGTTCTTTATCATGTAATAACAACTTGCTGACTTTCATCATGTGAAGTTTTTACAGTTTTTCTGGCAAGGAACCTCAAGAGATAAGATACTATTTATCAAGAGATAAAAAACAAAACACAAAACTCCCACTTCTGTCCAGGTTATAAATAAATAGTTTACTTTTCTTGTAAATTTACGGCCAAATTTAATGTTGATCATCATATGCCAGAAAAAATTGGGAAAATGCAGATTCTTTTTTTATTTATTCAGATTAGGTTAACCATCCAATTTGCATCTACTTTCTACTGCATTTTAGAGACAAAGTTTTAGCCGCATGTTTCCTCCATAATCCATACTAGATTTCACTGAAAACTATGAAACGGGTACAAAATAAACACCTAAACAGTTTACAGTCTGCTGAGGCATTATGTAAGCATTTAATACACCATTACGCAAAATGAATATTATTCTGGTGACAGTATTAATCCTCTAGATCATGATTCATATTCTTAAATTTTTGACACTTCAGCCAGACATCACCTTCAGTTGCCAAGCATAAGTCTTTCTATATTTGCTTGATTAATAAACTGAAAGCATCAAGTACATAAGAGGATTAAAAGCACAAATGGATCTCATGCCAGTTCTATGCACAGCTTTCTGCCTATGTTCAACTAATTATCTCATAATAAGCAGCACATAAAATACATTAATATTACATTTTTCCTGGTGACAGCCCATTTCACAACAGGATTAAATTTTCAGAACTGATCAACCAAAATAAAAAGAAGTGCTATGTACTGCTGTTTCTCAAAATTAGGAGTTGATGATTAAAGAATTACTTGGTCAGTTCAGTGGACAATCTCCATTTCCAATTTTTGGGAAATACTCCTAGTGATTTTGGGATATATTCAGGTCAGGTCAAATAAAGTAGTACTCTATGCTGCCTAGAACACACTGCCCCTTTGAGCAGTGAATATTATTTATTAGATTAATCTAAACTCACTCTGGAGCTCAAACAGGAAAGACAGAGTGACAGTACATCAGGAACTCTTGGATTCAGAACTAAGTGCTCTGATTTCCCTTTATTGTTTTACCAAGGAATTGACAAGCATGGAAAAAAATAAGGACATTTGGCAAAAATGAATTTTCAATGAGAAGTCCTTCTCAAAGACTACAGTGAACAAAAGTAGTAAAATACACATACAAAACTAGCTTAACAATCCACCCAGAAAAGCAGTTCTCTTCCTCTGTCTACACTTACTTGGTTTTGAGCAATTGTTACAGCCACAAGAGAAGACAGAATAATTCTGGTAGACACCACCAGATTGTTAGATGCAATCACGACATTCGAAACTGAATTAGCATTAAAAAATTAATTATACCACCATCACAATCAACTGGATCCTTCAGATGATTCAGCTTCAACAGATAGATACTGACTTTTGCCTAGAAAGTGCAATCTTCACTTTAAATAAAGATTTGTTAAAAACATGGTTTTAAAAATTTATTTAAAAGCCATCACAAGCCTGTCCTTCACAAAGTATTCAGAACCTATAAATTTAATCACTAGCTTCAAATGAAGCAGATTCACTTTATTAAACCTAATAAACCTCACCATTTTCTCTCCAAATCTAAGACTTATGCATATTTCATTGCCATGCAGTTAATTCATTAGTCTCAATCACAAATTCAGGTGTTTGAACCCAGAAGCATTCTATTCTAGTAAGACTACTGCAAGTGAATCAGGAAACATTATGATAAAAAATAACCCAAAATTTTAGATGTGGAGACTTGATATGTTATATCCATTTGCCTCCTTACCTACATACAATATTAATAAAATGTTGGATGTATTTTCATTTGCATTCAGCATTTGCACACATTAAAGTGCAAATATTGTGAAAATCACTTTTTATGACGTTAAAAGTTTAGTTATAATCTTTCTCTCACTCACTTACCTAAAGAGATACTCCACTGACCAATCATTTTTTTCCTAAGCTGCAATGTACTTTAAAAATAATTTGCTTAGAAAAGCAAACCTCATTTTGCCAATGAAAATACACGAACATCTACAAAACCAAGAAACTGAATGGTTTGCATTACAGAATCATGTTTATTAACATCACCTGAAAAATATTTAAGATTTTTCTTCTTTTAAATGAATAGCCTTTAAAGAAAAGTCATGTGCTATATACATACCCCTTGTTCATCCAGTTTAAGCAGCTGTTCAGGTACTTTGGGTGAGTTGGAAGCCTGCCTCAGGCACTGAATGCTCAGCTCTGGTATTACATACTCTAGTACCTCTTTGAGAGGTAGACCTCTTGCTGTGCCATGCCGAGCAGTGGATGGTATAGCATCTTCTAAAATTGCTCCTCTAAGTGTAGTAAGCTGCATTAAGGATAAAACACAAAAAACATTTTCAGTTCTAAGACTACAATGACTTTTAAAGAGATAAACTTCAGGATTTAGCAAAAACATGGAAGAAAGAATGGGAAGAAAAAGATCCCTAAATAACTTCTAAAGAGGAGACAAGCTCTTACTGTCTCAGTGACAAATACATTTTTCGTTTAAAGAAATTCACTGATGATATTATTAACTTATTCTAATTCCTAAGACTATTACTTTTCCGGGAAAAAACACCAGGAAAACTAAAAATTGTTAATTTTAATGCCATACTACCCCAGCAGACACAGTAGTTGAATGTGAGTTGGACAGGTGAGGTAAGCCACAGCTAATGGCAACTTCATTTAACTCATCCACTTATTTTTTAAATAGTTTTTTAAACCCTGCTGCTTTATCTTCACTGGATTTGGCAAAGAGAGAGTAATTTCTTAGAAGTGAGTCAACTGAATAACCTCTCCACACATACATACAGACACCCCTCTTTTTTGGTAATAAAAGAAAAACCTGGTCTAAAAAAAATTTTGTATCTATCTATCTATCTGTCTCTTTCTATATATGTTTGTAAAAGCGCATGAGCCCAGAGATATCAGGAGGTCCAACTAACACTTCTCTCTCCTAATCACAATAAAAAACAATAGTCCCAAGGATTACTAAAATTTATAGTTGCTTGCTACAATAATAACATTGTGTGTTTTCATACAAATCAAAGCTAGTTGCTGTGATAAAGAAGAAATTAGTTTGCAAGAGATACTAATTCACTTGAAATACAACTTGAGAGACATGTCCTTCCACAATAATCACAAGCAAGATATTCATCCAAATAAGACAATTATTTTTATCAACATATTAATATGCCTTCCACAAATCATGTATGTAGAAGTATGTGAAAATATCTCACAGAAAAGAGCCTCTACAGAAAGTATTTTGAAACAAAACACAAAAATACAAATAAATCACAGTACTAGCTTCTTTCTTAATCTTTTGTTTCTATCATTAGAAACTTAACATCAAGCATCTTGATCCAAACTTATCTTCAGCTTTGTTCTTACCATCTGTTTTCTTGCTTGCCCCCTTGCAGTTCCCTTCAGCCAACTTACCTTCTTTTGGGTACTTGCTCAAAAAGAGGAAAATCTTATGCAGTGCAGAGGAGGAAAACTTTATTTCAGGAGCTACCACATTTACTAATGGTACAAGAAACATCCCTTTCCCATTGCTACATCCCCATTCCCTTTGCTACTTTCAAAGTTAGCAACATCCACAGACAAACAACTAGTATCCTAAGCTCTAAATTAACCTTTCCATTCCTTTGCAGAATTAATGAAAGAACATTACCTCACTTGTCCTGAAAACTATACGATAGTTGAACTGAGATCCTTCTTTCTCCTTGGCATCTTCAACCTTCTCCCTCCGGATACTGACTGCTACAGGTCCAAGATTTTCATCTATTCCAAAGTAGTTCTGATGCTCTTTTGCACAAGAGTGAATGAAGAGAGAAGAGAATAATGAAGTATGAGTCTCCTAGAAAATGTTCATCAAATCTCATTAAAAATTTCTGCAGCAAGAAAAAAAAAATTATTTTAATTGTTCTGCAAAATCTGCAAATATACTGGTTTGTGATCTCCTGAACTGCAAAATTAAGTACACAAATCACAAAATGCCATGAGTAGAATGGTCACTCACATCACACAAATTACTGTAACTGCTATGAAATAATAATTTTTTGCATATTTTGTTACTATGGAATTAATCCTTTTGCTTGATGCTGTAAGAAACTACTTTGGAAAACTGTATCTTCACAACAGAGTCCTCAACAAAAGCGAACAGTTTTCAAACAAATAAAGGTGCTATATAGCACCTTAATTTCATCCAATTTATTCTTATTTAAAGTTTTACATTCAAAGCAGCAATTCAATTTTAACAAGTGAAAACTGAGGCTAGTAACTCTTCAGTTAAATTCATCCTTGAGCCAGCTGGCCCAGTTTGGGAGAGTAAAGCACTATGACAGAAGAGGAAGATCAAGTTAGAGACCATTTAAGCAGATGAGACACACTCAAGTCCATGGCACCAAACAGGGTACGTATTGAGGGAACTAGCCAGTGTCACTGTAAGGCCCCTCTTCATCACCTTTGAAAGGTCATAGTGAGAAGTTACACCTACCTTTAAAAAGGGCAAGAAAGAGGGTCTAGGAAGCTATAGACTAGTCATCATAAACCTCAGTTCCCAGGGAGATTAAGGAACAAATTCTCATGGAAGGCATTTCCAGGCACATGAAGGATAGAAAGATGCTTGGAAACAGTTTGCATAGATTTACAAAATGCAAATCATGCACAACCAACCCAGTTGCTTTCTGCGATGAGATGACTGGCTTTATGGGTGAGGAAGGAGCAATGAACGTCACCTACTTATACTTTAGTAATGCTTTTTACACAGTCTTCCATAGTATCCATGTAGCTAAACTGAAAAGATATGGTTTGGACATGCAAATTACAAGGTGGACATCAATTGGCTGGGCAACTGGCCTCACAGGACTGTGATCAGTGGTGGAGCTGTTACTAATATTTTTTAAAGTTATCCAAATGATGGAATGGAATGCATCCTCAACAAATTCATATACATGATCAAGCTCAAGGAGAACAGTCCACGTACTGGAGGTTAGGGCTGTAGTTGGGTGCAACAGATGAAGGGGAATAACCATCAGGCTTTTAACAAATGAGTAATATGTGCATAGGCCAGATACTGAAATGCGTAAACCTTGCAGTGTTTTACAAAAGCGGGCACAGGCGGTTAACTCATCCACACAGGTAGAGGCCCAAGGCTGTGGGGTGGCTTCACTGTGCTTCACTGCCCACTCTCCCCTTCCCCTTGAGGCAGCTGCTGCTGAGATGGGACAGCTGAGCTGCATGCGAAGCAACTCGTAAACCACTGAAGTTTTTAACAGGTCATGTTTAAAACAAACTCTCCTTTTGACAATCTGAAAAAATGGATAGCCAAAAACCTCATGAAGAACAACATAAAAGGTTTATCTGGAATACAGCAAGCTCATCCAGCAGCACCGGCTGGGGACCAACTGTCTCAGGAGCAGCTCTGTAGATAAGGACTGGGGACTCTTGTGGGACGCTCGTTGGTAGAGGTGAAGGCTAATCACACTCTGGGCTGCACTAGCAAGAGCATACCAGCAGGTCAGGAGAAGACATTATGCCTCTCTGTTTGGCACTTTATACGCCACATAAGGAGTAGTGTCCAGTTATGGACAGAGTGAGACAAGGCCAGCAGACAACTTCCAAGACAATTAGGGAGCTGGAGCATATAACCAATGAGGAGAAGCTGAAACAGGTGGGCTTGAGCAGCATGGAGAAGAGGAGTTTAAAGGGGGAAATAATTGTAGGATCCCACTAGCTGATGGGGGGTTATAGAGAAGGGCCAGCCAGGCTCTCCTCCAAGGTATAAAGAGAAAGGACAAGATGCAATCATCACAAGATTCAGCCCCTCTTTGAGGGGAATCAAACACAGGAACAGGTTGCCAGGAGAGTTTGTGGAATCTCCATCCTTAGAGATGGTCAAAAGCTAAAGGGACAACTAAAGGGGAATAGGCTCTGAGCAACCTATTCAGAACCTACCTTTAAAGGCAGCTTTAAACAAGGAATTACACTGGAAGACCTCCAGAAATGTCTTCCAATCCAATTTATGCTATAATTCCATATTTTAAATAGCAATGAAGTAATAGACTAATTTCTCCTTTTAAGATAAGTCTGGATTAAGAAACGCTTTGCTAGCATTTTTGAGCTAGTTGGATATTGATTTATTTATTATACAATAAAGATAAAGTTACCTCTACATAAACGACAGTCTTATTTGTCAAATCAAGTTTAACTTAAGTTTCCAGTAGCCTTTCAAAAATCTACCTATAAAGTATGTTGGTGGTTACAGTCCATCTCCCAGTGGAGAGAAAATGAGTAGCAGCACATTGCAACTAACATCTTTTTTGGGGGGAGGAACACCTGGGATCAAAGGGGCACAAACATTAAATTACGCACTCAAGGTCACCAACTACATCCCTTCCCCAGCCTGAGCATTCTACCTGCATGGATAAATTATACCTCATGGATTTCCCAGTGTTAAATTAAAACTTTGAGCCTTAATGGGCAAATTTATCAATTTACAGACCAGAGAGAGAGATTTCAGAGGCCAAACACTTTCAGCAACATAAAAACTCCCCACAGCTACATATTCAAGCTTTGACAAAAGGTAAACTTCTCAGTTAAGGTTTCTATAGCCCTCCATTTTGATGTAAATCTAGAAAAGGGTGTTACAGAGCTACTAGATTTCTCGGCTGCAGTATTACTGAGCAGAAAAATGCAAGCCTGGCGGATATCTTCTTATTTCTTGTACAATATGAAAGACACAAACCCAAAGACATTCTTTATGTGTATTAAAAATAAAATGCATAAAACAGTTTCAAGAGTGGGAATTAAAGAAGCTGAAGTAAATTAAAGAATAGCATGGCTACTGATATTCTGGGATTTAGGGAAAACATTTTTAATTCAAGAAGCTTTTTTTTTAAAAAAATCTCATAAACTACAAACTCATTAAGCACATTTAAATGTATTTATGTTGATTTAAAATTATCAACTGGAGAGAAGAGAATAAGTGCTATTTTCTAGCTGTTTAAAGAGAGATGGTAAAATATTCCTCATTTTTTACCTTTTCATTTTGAGGAATAATTGTCGACTTTTCTTCTAACACAAAAGTCTTACTTATACAAAACTAAGTTAATACCAAAGGCTTGCTAAGCCTGTACATTTCTTCTAGAGCATTTTTTCAGTTTCCTATCAGCATGATAGATACAGTAACATATTAAGAAATGGTTGCAAGCATCCCTCAGATAAAAAGTATGGTAGTAATAGTCAAGTCTCAAGGTATTATGAAGATAATTACACAAGCGGCAAAGGACAAATCAATGACAATAAAAGCATATTTCAGTTATCCTGTTTAAAAATCAACATAGCTTTTTTCCCCTTCTCATCCCCTTTTATCCCACAAAAAATATAGTTCACTAAAGGACACAATTAATAAATCAAAATCATGAGATAAAAGAAAATATTCTAGCTTTTACAAATGTTAACTGAAAACTGAGAAGATATTTTCCATAAACATTAACATATTTTACATCAGTCATGTTGGATTTGATTTTAACAATAGTTATAAAGCTTATAAATATGCAGTATAAAACTACAGCTCATTTCAAAAGACACTGAATTCCAAATCTCTCATTTCTTGAAAGGAAATGGAATAATTAGTACTACACATGCCAGGGTGTTTCTTCCATGCATCTTAAAACAGGAATAAAACTTGTACGCTGACAAGTGCCAATTATAAAACTGTGAACTAAATCAAATATTCAGAAAGTTATTTCTTTTTCATAGATATCTTGTTAAAGGCAAAGAAAATCAGTGGCATTACATATGTCTCCATATACAAGTGACTATTGTTTGCTAAATTTTTATTTCACCCTTCCACAATTATTTTGCTAAATTCAACTGTGCTATTAAATCTACAATTCAATGAACAACCAGCTAAGAGAACCATTTTGAACCTCTGAATTTACTGCCCATTCCTTTCTTAGCTCTAGGTCTTTTTCTTCCCCTTCCATGACAGCTCCAGATTCTTTTTTTTCCTTGCCTTTTAAATACAGTGTTTTTACAGCCAATATGTTCTAGGTGTCTACTGTATTGTGAAAACGAGCACTGTACTGGATCCTCTTTTGAGTTCCTTGTAAAGGAGGAAGGCGTACAGTATACTGCTTATTTCCTGCTGTTCAAATATAGTTAGAAAGCAGAGGAAATATGATTTCACGAAGACTTGGGGAGTAACAAATAGTCTTTTAAGGACAGAAGCAGATTTTTTTTTTCTTTGCTTTTCTTTTAATAACAGCAAAAAGACTGAGCTGTACTTCCTAAGACTGAAAGGACAGCGATAGGTATTTTTGGGTTCTCCCCACAAAAACAAAGATTTCACACACATTGCACAATGCAGTACTGAATACAGACAGCCAAAGTAAACTGTTTCCACTTTGTGATCTATCTGAATAACATTTCAAGCCAAGATAATTACTCTGCTGAGAAGAGTATCCTGCCACTTTGCAGTGTGAACATATCCTAAAAGAATAGGGTAGAAGGCTAGAAGAAAAGCATAAAACAACCTTCTTTAAGCTGAAAAACTAAATAGCATCAGAAGACCTCTATTTAAGGAATATGTATATGTGCATATGAAAGGCCCCAAGAGACATCTGAAGACAGCAGAGTCTAGAAGTAGGGAGTCAGAAGCCTCAATAATAAAAACTCTTTTGGAGGCACCTTTTTAGGAAATAATGACTTCCACTCTGAGTATCAGTATTTCCAATGCATTTACTGGATATAAATGTTCTCTTTTCCTCTATGCCCACTGAGAAAGTTTGTTTCAGAGAAGTTAGTTTATGTACCAATTTAAATGACGCCACACTTAGTGAACTTATACAAGTATTGCATAACTTTACACATAACAACACTGGTTGTTGAGTATCCCTCTGGGACAGCAAGAACAACAGGCTTAATGTTAGTTAACAGTTTCAGGATCCCTTGTAATACTTAGGTCTCTCTATAGAGAAGGAAAAAAAAAAATCTTTACTAAGCAACTTAAATCTAATGCATGAATATCTCAGAATAGTTGCATTAGAAAAATTTACCTTTTCCGTAGAAGAACTTGCGGTAGTAATATGCTCCAAGATCAATGTGTTCTATGATGTAACGCTTCACTTTCTCTCTGTGAATGGACTGGTTTTCTCTTGGTACTTCCAGCACTGAAACACCAGCATTTGTGCAATGGGAACTCAGAGAGGACTCAAAAGAACAACTTTCACCTGAAGAAAAAGATGCTGAATTTGCCCTAGAAAGTGCAATCCGTCTATCTCCTTCCCCACCAGTTTCATTCCTGAAGTAAGGGCAACTCAGTACTAAATCATTGCTTTTCCCATCTCCTTCATCAGCATCTAAATTCTCTTTTGAATTGAGGTCCTCTTTGCTTCCCAAAGGAGATTCACAGTTTCCTGTTTGGCCTGCTGGCATTTGAGTTTGTGATGCAGCTGAAGCCCCAGTGGTTATATTTTTTCTTTTTCCTACATTTACTCTGGTAGCCATTGCTTCATTTATGTTAAACAAAACGCTCTGAACATCATAGTGCGCAAAACACTTCTGACAGTTCCAAGAACGAACATTTCTGTCAAGTCTATCATCCAGATCAGACGAAAACTTAAAAGTTTCATGCTCACTTTTAACCGTTCGTAGTTTTCTAAATAGAGATGTTTCTACTGCTTCCGATTTTAGTCTCCTCTTGAAAGATTTCTCCCTATCTCGACCAATAAGTAGGGCGCTATCCATATAATCCAAGCCAGAAATCCTGACAAATTCTCCCCTGGAAATCTGCGTTGCAGCATGTAGACTTGGAGAAACTGTAGGATCACAGTGGAAAAACTCAGAAAATCCAAATGGAGCAAGAGTTTTATGTTCAAAATTTTCCACTCTGTATCCTCTTAGCATTGCAAAAAAATTTTCTCCAGACAAGCCTTGTCTATCAATTGAAGAGGTACTGCCATATTCTCTATGAAGAGCTGCTCCAGTATTTGGGTTAACAGCATTCTGGTCTAACACATCTTCAGCATCAATATCACTTATTGTGACATCACTGTTGCTTCTTTGCCTTATGGGATGAAGTCCCCTTTGAGGGGAATGAACAAAAAGCTCTCCAATTGAGTATTTTCCCTCTGTAAATTCCAATTCTAGCTCTTCTTGCTGTGCATCACTTTGGTCATTTTGTCCATTTGGAAGTACTGAGCCAACACTCTCATAACTGGCTGGAGGTCTGTTTTCCCACGGAGCTTTACCCAGCTCTTTAGAGCAATCCTTTTTAGGAGGCCATTCAGATACCCTTGCTCGAACACCCATTTTGGGCACAGCTGGTGTACCATTTGTTTGATTATTTTCAGTTTTGCTAGATACATTTGAAGAAACAGGAGGACCCATGCTACCATTCAAAGCTTTAAGTTTTCTAGCAAAATAATCATCAGATTGCATGCTTCTTGAAGACTCCCTGAACTTTGAGGAAGTTCTGCTAACTTTGTGCTTATCTTCTTGCAAAGACCTTTGATCACTCATGTCCAGTCAGTGAGAGGGGAACTGCTACTATTGCACAAAGTTACTGTTACTTTTGTTATTACATTGTCTTTTATGGGCCAATAAACTGCAATATAAAAATACAGCTACACTCTTCCTAGAAGTGCACGCAGAAACGTCAGTGTATCATTTTTCTACAACTTCTGTCAGGAGAGCAATTTTAAAACGTTTCCTTCAGTTCAGATGCATTCATTTCAGTATTAATCCAGACAAATTTCTTTTATCTGTTCATAAAAAGAAAAAAAAAAGAGAAAGTGTATTAAAATGTTTATAGTCAATAACAGTAAGCTTCCAAAGTTGCTTGTATATACACAATACTCCATGAAACTGGAACTACTGAGACTTGCTTTGTATGGTTTTCTACCCTTTGCCTCCTTAAAACTGAACAAATGCAATAATCCTAGTTTCCCATATGATATCCACAGGATGTGAGCAGTTTGAACCTGCATATCTCTCATGGGCTAGCCAGTACATGCACACCGAACAGCAGACCAGATTCTGCCAAGCAGAATAGCCACAATCCTCTCTACATTTCCTTCAATGCTGACAGCAACTTAGATGCCTATTCTCTGTCTAATCACTAATAATGTTTGTTACATAACATGAGTTACATTTTCCTACCAGTCTTGCCCCAGTACATAAAATAGATAGGACCTTAGACAAAGAAAAGTGTTTTGTCCCATTTAAAAGAATATTTTAAAGATAAGTAATCTCTCCACTATGATTAATTCAGTGAATAGATGTATTTGGCTTTTTTTCCTCTCTCTCCCCAAAGGGAGTTTTACTTACATTCCTTTATTTGGAGTGAAAACTATTATTTAGCTGTGTAGAACAGTTGTTTCTGTTACATTATATTCCTTTGGTTTGAAACCTAGACTGTGCTAAAGAACAGGTCTGTTGTCTTCCACAAATAAGAAAAGATAGTAGCCCTACTGATAAGTGTTAATTTGATTCCAAAATTAGAATTGTTAGGATATAAAAACATTCTTCAATGGCTTTAATGGTCTTAAGAATGACCATGACTCATGCTGTGAAGATCAATTTGCAGGCAAAGCCCATTCTTAAACCCACTGCATAAAACTACACTAAAATAAGAGACAAGACAGTGTGTTATGTACTTCCTTTTCAGCTTTTGTTCCTTGAACAAAAACACCAACATAATGATCTTTTAAGATGTTGCAAACAAGCATAATATGCATTCACCAGAGCTTAAAAAAAGGTCAGGTCAAATTATTTCAGTGAAGACATGAGGTGGAGTAAAAGAAGCTCAGATGATAAGTAAGGTTTTCCCAACATTTAATGCCATAAAAATTATATTAAAAAAAAAGTGTGAGGTGGAGGCAAAGGAATAATATAAATTAAAACTTGACAGATTATTTTTTTTGCTTTTCAGAAATCAACACGACATTGTGTTTGATACAGCAAACTTTAGGACTCTTCTACCTTAATGGGCACTATTAAACACAAGTTAAGAGTTACAGTAGCATTATGATTGACATAGTTTCTATATGACTGTTAGGAACGGGTAACAGTAACAATATATCATTGCAACTTACTTTCACTACATACAAATTACTCAGAACTCCTGTTTTAATTGACATCATTGACCATCAAACAAAGTTTTTAATTCTTTACAGGAGTCCAAAAGATTATTTAAACAACTGACATGTTCAAAGAAACAGTACTTCGAAAGTGGCATGTAGGATTTTTAAACACTGACTTATGAAAATAAAACACAAAAAGTAAAGCATCAGTCATAGAATCATAGAATGGTTTGGCTTTTAAGGTCATCTAGTTCCAAATCCCTACAATAAGCAGGGACATCTTCAACTAGATCAGGTTGCTCAGAGCCCCATCTAACCCCATCTGACCTGGAATGTTTCCAGGGATGGGGCATCTACCACCTTGCTGGGCAACATGTGCCTCACTCACATTGTGAGAAATTTCTTCCTTCTATCTAGTCTAAATCCGACCTCTTATAGTTTAAAACCATGACCCCTTGTCCTATTGCTACAGGCCCTGATAAAAAGTCTGTCCCCATCTTTCGTGTAAGCCCCCTTTAAGCACTGGAAGGCTGCCATAAAGTCTCCCCGGAGTCTCCTCTTCTCCAGGATGAACAACCCCAACTCTCACAGTCCGTCCTCACAGGAGAGCTGTTCCATTCCTCTGATCATTTTTGTGGCCTCCTCTGGACCTGCTCTAACAGGTCCATGTCTTTCCTGTGCTGAGGGCTCCAGAGCTGGATGCAGGACTCCAGGTGGGGTCTCCCCAGAGCAGAGTAGAGGGGCAGAATCACCTCCCTCGACCTGCTGGCCACGCTGCTTTGGATGCAGCCCAGGATACAGTTGGCCTTCTGGGCTGCAAGTGCACATTGCTGGCTCCTATCCAGCTTTTCATCCACCAGTACCCCCAAGTCCTTCTCTGCAGGGCTGCTCTCAGATATATCAATATGCTTAATATTTTGGGGGCACAAGTAGTATTACAAAGGTGAAATACAAGAAAACTTCTGTGGGATACAAATTAACATGAACAGCTGACAGTTTTATCATCTCTTAAAGTGCTCTCTATACAATCGTAGAAGAATGAGAAACCTTTGCCAAATAGAAACACTGAAGAAAAACTAAACTATTCCAGAATCATCTTTTCTGTTTCTGCAAGAATATAAAATAGCGAGAACACAGAAAGGTCAATTTCACATATCTGGGAAGATATTTAACTTCATATTGAAGATGCACCATAACTTCAAAGAAAAATTAATTAATTACATCTTCTAGCCTTCTTGCCTTTTACTGCATAAAACCCATTCATAGAAGTCATTAGTATATGCTTTTTTTTTTTTAATCTCTTACAAAATGGGATAATACATATGAGGTCAGAAAAGGCTATCCTACAAAAATTCCATTCTCTTCTTCTGTTGTGTTAACCCTTTTTCTGCCGCAAGCATTTGTGCAGAAGTAGTGAATTGGACGAGGACCATAATCCAGACTGAAATTGAATTGAGGATGAAGTGGTGAGAGGCAGAAGGAAGGAACAACAAATGCACACAACCACCCCATTTGTTTCAATCGAAATCCACAACATGATTTACTGTTTGGCCTCAAATTTGTGGAAGGCAGGAGATAGCCTGAAGGCCACAGGAAAGCAAGATTTTTTTTTTTTTTTTCCTCTCCTTTCATGCTGGTGGTAGCTTAAATACTTGAAGGATTGCCCGAGTATTTTAAAAGAAAGGTACATTGCAAAAGGTAGTATTTAAAAAGAGAATTTTTTTTTTTACAGTGTAAAGCTGGTGTGACAGAAGACCAAAGAAATGCTTGTTTTGGAACGGTAGATTGTCATTTTATTGGAAATACTAGTATCTGAAGATGGCATGCAGTATATCTAGGGTATACCAGTAAATATTTTTTTTTAAATCTGAAGTTGGCCTAATTACCATTCCTGTAAATTTGTGTAAGTCAGTACAACAACGTGTTTTGATTGACAGCTGACCTATGCTGATGGATAGCACTATATTCTCCTGTACTTTTTTCTTCAAGGTTTTTCCTCCTCCATAATAACAATTTAGCGGCTTACAAACATTCCTCCATAGGTGTTGATACTATTCATTATAAAGCAATTTTGTTTGCCAAACTTAATAAACTATTACTTCCACAAAGAATGCAGTCACTGTGATCAAGAGTACCCTTCTCTTCAGACCTGTACAGTCCTTTTGGTCAAGTTCTTCTTTTCTCTCTCTTTTTGTCTCATCTTAGCATTTAAGAATGTAATCCCTGACAGATCTGGTCAGAAAAGAAAAGCTGGATGCCTACCCTTCTGTTGTGCTCATGCCAACCCTTCCCACTAAGGCTGCTGGATGTTATGCAAATAACTTAAGTTCCTTCCACACAGCTACAAAGACTTCCTTCTGAGCTCAATACAGCAGCTGGTTTGTTAGCCACAGTTACAGCTCTTTAACATGGAATGATTCCAAGTTTCCTGGGGACCTGGATACATGCCCACAAATGTTCCTGTGCCAGTAGCAGAGCAATGAATAAGAACTGTACTATTGAACTATCCTGTCAAAAGGAGGCTGTTTGGTAACGCTGCCTCATGTCAGCCTTGATAGATAGAAATGAATTATTTAAGAAGTCTTTCTGTGATCATTTTGTTGATCATGACTTTGGAAATCTGCCCCTATTATTATGTAATGCTATCATCTTAAAAAGAATGCATAATTTGGATGAAAGCATTAGTCTCCACTATTTATCAAGATGACAATTCTATAAACCATGACTCTCAAGCTCTACTAATCTTAAAAAATGGGAAGAGCAATTTGATAAAATAGGAGTATAGGCAGGAATAATATGCAAAAAGCTGAAGATCAGACATTTAATTTGCATTCAATTGATTCTACACAGCATTTCCTGTGTGCTCAGAGACTGGTTAGTTTCCATTCTTCAAAGAAACACATAGTAGAGTAGTAGCATTATGTATTTGGCCAGTATAGCAGAGTAGCAGTTACACAATGGCTACTTTATGGGAATCCAAAGTTTGCAAGAAAATTCTTCCTTCAGGCCCATACTTTGAAGCAGAATGAAAAAGAACAGTGAAAAGGAGAAATAATGTGGTTTGTTAGCTGCCTGTATTTCCACAAGTTCTGGACCAGATAACCCACTGAACAAATCTGTCACAAGGTATCATCTACTAAAACTAAGGTTGCCACTAGAAAAAAAAGTAAATTTTTGAAAAAAGAAGAAAATACAAAAAGGTTTTTTAATGTAAGTTCAAATTTGTTTCAGTTTGCTTATTTTTAAAAAGAGACTACATTTACTAATGGTTTTAGATTTACATAATTTCAGTATATCTAGTAACAGCATTTATTTCTTAATGATTCCTAAGTCAGAACTACCAAAGTTTCAGAAGCAAAATGAGAGCTATGCCTGGTTTTCAAGCCATGCTGCTTATCTGTGTGTCCAAGCCAGAAAATTCTGGTCACACTGAACTGTGAAATCATATCATATGACAGTTGATTATGATGTCATGCAGGAGAATTATTACTGCAGATAGGAATATGGAAAAAGGAAAATGAGTTCTTCATGCATTTGTTTTCATGCAAATGTCTTTAGAAAACCATGACATTTAAGCATAATTGTCTTTAAATAG